TGTGTGTGTGTGTGTGTGTCAGTCAGACTCAGGGGACACACGGGTTCCCTCCTCTGTCCCAGCCTGATGCTGCAAAGTCTCATCAGGCCCTTTAAGCTGCTTTTCATTAGCATGTATCAACACTGAGAAGGATCCACACACACACACGCAGACAGGCATTCCCTCATGTATTGTGTTCCTGCTGAGTGTCTCCACTTTTCAATTTTCTCTTTCTCCCCTCATTCCGCCTCCTTCCATCCCTCTATTGTTCAGTATCGCTTCATTTCTTCCCTCTCAGACCACATCCCTTCTCTCACTCATTCACCTGCTGTCGTCTTTCAACAAGCTTCCTCCCTCCCTCGCTACTGTCTGTCTCTCTTCCTCCTTCACGTCTCCCCTTCCTCTTATGTGACATCTTGTCCCAGAAAAAAATGTTTTTCAGCCGCAGATCTTACTGGGCCATTCTGTTGGAGCGCTATCCACACCGGCAGCTGTCTGAAAGCGACTTCAGAAAGCACTGCGGGGAGCGGCTGTCTGGCCTGTTCCCAGACCGGCCGTTTTATCTGCAACGCCACACTCGTCCCTGCGCCTCCTCATCGCGCTGAGCAGATCTGGGAGCAGTGGCGAGGGGTGGGAGGAGCTGCAGTATGCGAGGAGGGCCACATATTGAGGCCAAGTGGAGGAATCTCCAAAGTGCTGAAACTGGATGTTTTTTTTCTTTCCTGATGCACTTACAACCTAAAGTGAGCACTGAGTGATACAGATAAGACGGCTGCAGTGCTGATGTAAGGACATTCGCAGGTCGGTGGCGGTCAAAAGTCGAGGGAAGTCGAGCGGTTGTGGCCCCGAAGAAAGACAGGAAATGAGATGGAAGAGGCAAGAGGTGCAAGGGAGGAGGAGATAAGAGGAAACGTCAGAGAAAGACATCAGACAGAGTGTGGCCGATACAATGAGATGGAAAAAGGGAAGAAAACATTAAAAAGAAAGATCTTCACGGAGAAAAAATTGTATTTTGTAGAACCCCTTGAGATAAAGTCAAAAGAAAGGCACACATCTAGCTGGCTATCCAACATGCTTCAAATTTCATGTTTGATGTATTCTTCAGGATCTTTAAATGGCTTCTGTGACAGCAGACGCATAATGAGGCATTTAGAGACGATATAGAAACTTTTATATAAAAATAAAGAAACGAGAAATCTTCAGAACATCAAGATGTGAGATTCCAGTTTCATCTGCTTTTTATTTTGTTTCAATCTCTAGTCTGTTGTGGTATTTGTATTCTTTCTGCTATCCACTACACACTTTTAGATATTCAAATGTATTTTTTTTTCCATTCAGTTTGTACTTTTGTAGATTGAATAACTCATCACTTACTTAAAAATGTAACCTCACATATCTAATGGCAATTTAAAAAATGATTGGAAAAATTCAGCATAAAGTGACTTCGGCCTCTTTCTGTAGCACTGCCTGTGCATCCTATTGATCACGATGACATTGTAATCAATGAGGAAGTGCAAGATACGATTCAACAGTTTTGCAGATTATCTAAAAGTGCAATCAATTTTTTTGCCCCTGTGTCACCCAGCACAAACATCTGTTCTACCTTATACGCAGCCCCTCCGTGGATGATGGACTTGATGAAGATGCCCAGGTCTTCTCCAGTCTCTCTGGACCTGTTGCCCTTCAGGCTGACGCCCAACCCGGCCGAACCCGACTCGTTGAGGGGGATCTCGTACATCAGCTGCTCCCTGCCGTCCTCCAACACCACGCTGCTGGCTTCCTCACCTTTCTGGAAGAGAAGATGAAGGAAGGAGGGATTTAAGGATACAGGATTTAACAAACACTTATTTTTCCCCTTTAATGCCTGTTTTACATAGTAATTGCTGTATGTGATTGAGGCAGCTGCACCATATCTAATGCACTGACTGATAATGCATGCTCCTAAATCACAGTGATTACACACAAAAAAAGGAGTGAGCGGGAAACGGATTAAAGAGAAGGAAGACAGCTGCCAGGAGGGAAAAAATAAGAAAGACAGGATAAGGAAAGGAAAGACAGGAGGATGAGAGGAGCAGGTGTTGTGTACCGGAAAGACAGATGAAGGTGTAGTGAGGAGAAGAAGAAAGCTACTGTGGAGAGGTTATTCCATTTGGAGATGAAAAGGCGAGAGCAAGCCATTTCTAAAGGAAACATAATAACCTTTCATACTTCTTCCTGGAGCACAGTGGGGGAGGAGAGGGGAGGGAGGAAGAAGAGGAAGAGGAGGAGGAGAGAGAATGGAGTGCAGAGGAGCATTTAAAAGTAATAACCCATCCCTGAGGTATACCAGCTACTCTCGTTCCCTCTTTACATTTCAACCTAATCTGTCCATCTGACTCTCTCCCTCTTTCTCAATTCCTCCTCCCCAGACTCCTGCTCCACCTCTGCTTCCTACAGGTGCATCTCACCCACCTCACCCACCCACCGCTATTTTTAATCTGATTAAAATGAGTGTAGCGGCAGAGACGGCAGCACTGCAGCGAAAATGAGATGGAGGAGGGAGAAAAAGGGCAATAAAAGAGAAAAAGAAAATGTCTGTCATTAGAGGATGGCAAAATGGAGAGCCAGGTTCAGTCACCCGGGAAAAGAGGGCCCGCGGAGGCGCCACTTTACTCCTGAGCGTTTTTCTTCTTTGCAGAGGAAGGTTAAGAGGGGGTGTGTGAGTGTGCATATGTTCACACATCGAGTGTTCATTCAATTCAGTTACACAACAGCCACTCAAATATATCAAATTATAAAATGGAATGTTGCAGGAATGTGTATATACATTATTCCAGTCATACGTCGTGTCACAGCTTTAAAGATGTGAGCGGCCATACAAGGATTGCGGCAGCCTTACATCACGCTCCACTAAATCAGGAATCCATGTTCACATTTCCCCTGCATGAGGAGGAAGGACGTGGGAGGGAAACATGTCCTCCAGAATCCTTTTTTTCCAAGTCTGTCTCCCTACCGTCAGCACTACTTGTCTAGGTGCTTAATTAAAACAACAGCCCGCTAAAGCCTCGAGGCCAAGAGGAGACGCTACGTTCCAAAAGTGTGAGTCAGGGCTCTCGACGCAGTCAAAAGGTAAATGAGCTAAAACCTGGGAGGTCATCTGCACTGAGCTGATACGCTGTGTTTAGTCACTGCATGCCTTCACTTTGGATTTAAAGTCAGGTTGACATGGCTGTAAGGGATTCAAGTTTCCACATCAGACGTCAACAACAGCAGTGATGTCACAAAGTACATTTTCTTGCACTTATCCAACATCAGGTCTCAGAGGCAGCCGGCTACACAGCGTGTTCCAGACTTCCCTCTCCCCAGCCAAGTTTTCAAGCTCCTCCATTTGGGATGCAGAGGCGTTCCCAGGCCAGATGGGATATATCGTCCCTCCAGCCAGTTCCAAGTCTCATGAAGAAGCAGTGGTTCTACTCCGACCCCTCTCGATGTTTAAATTCCTCACTGATCTCTAAGTCTGAGCCCAGCCAACAGATGAAGAAAACTAATTTCTGGCTAAAACGTAGTTAGTTTACTGCATGAACTTAACCAGAGACAGACGACGAAGCATGTGCCCAAACTAACAGTAATAGAGACATTTCCGTGATGACCTTTGGCGCTGAAGTGCCTAAAAACTGACAATGCAATTATTTGAAAGATTTTTTATTCATAAAATTGAACTTATGAAATTTAAGACATGAGGCCATGCGTCGTCAGAGGAATGTGAATCAGCCTTTTGTGAAAAACCTCGTCAAACATCCGAGCTGAAGGGTAACATTTCAATCACAAGTAGAAAACATTTATAAAACATGCATTACTACAGTTTCTGGTGTACTTTTACTTCTGACAAGAACAAATCTGCAGTTATCAGACTCTACCGATAAGCACCTCTCAGGTGATGATCATATTCAGTTCCACGTGAAACAGCAAACGCACAAACTATTTTCTACTTCGCTGCAACACAACAGCTTCAGTCGAGGCTTATTTTTATCAATAAGGCGATTCAAGGAGCGCTGTTACTCAAAACCGGAGGAATTAAAAAGACAATCCGCCACTTCCTGCTTGAGAGACACTTGAGACGGCTCACATGGCACCCTGGGAGGTTTTTTTAAATACCTCTGTGATCTCGCTGTAATGGCAACAACAACACAAGGTGAAGGTGGCGGTGATCGGAGCGTGGCGCGCTCTGAAGGATCTGGGAACGAAACCATGATATTGGAATGTTATTAAAGTTGAGGAGCGTGTTTATTTATTGTGTCACGCTGCTGATTTGAATCTATTTACACAAGCAGCTGAATCTCAGTGGTGGTCCACACACTCTCACACACTAATATCCCCTCTAATGCCCTTTCCTTGGGGGCAGATTGCGTCCCCATGGTGGCTGAGACCCCTTGGCTCCGCTCGGTGACCCCCTCCTCCTTCCACCGTTAGCCCTCAGCAATGGCTCTTTAACAAGCTTTTAGCCGGGAGGAGACCACCCTCTTCAGCGCCAAAATGAGGAGACAAAAGGGAGCTTTTTCTTACCCCCGGGTGGGTGGCGAGGAGGGGGGGTGATACACAGCGATTACACACAGAGCCTTTTGTCGCTGAGGATTTCTAAATGGGGGGTTTCAAAGCGGCGAGATTAGCGGTGAGAGCGACATTCAATTAAGATGAGATCTCACCGCGCTTTCAGGCGACGATGGAGCTGCCAATTAATCGCCTTAATGTCTGCCTCTTCGCCCGCTTTACATCTTTACCTCACAAAAAAGAAATGGAAAGTAAAATGACTGATTGAGGGATAATTCCGGTGCGTGTTGACGGGGGAAGGCGGAGAGCGAATAAGAGAAAAACAAAAGCAAACTCTACCTTGAAGAAAGGAAGAGAGGGAGAGCTGCAGAGAATGGGGGGATAAGTAAAAAGAAAAGAGGGTAACGGCAACACAGCAAAGTCGCTTTCTGTCTGACGACCCCTTTTCCTGTGAATCGGTCTAGGCTGCGGGTCAACCATGTGTGGAGTGACCCCTCCATCCTGTCCTTGGCCATATCATAATTCCTCTGCGGACACACACTTTCACTCGCACAAACACACATATCACTCTCCCACTGAAACCCACGCACACAAAAAAAAAACCTCTCTAATCCCCACCCTGAAACAGAACGAAGGCCCCGTGAAATAATCAGAGCGCAGAGCGATGGAGACGCAAAAATGCTGACAGGACGGAAAGTGTGATTAGAAAGTTATCACTTTTTAATTACTTGGAGAGAGAGAGAGCGAGTACAGGAGACGGGGTAGAGAATCAGCATCCTTTTGTTTCCTCATAATGAGGCTAATTCGAAGGCTTTATTATGATTCTGTGGACTGAAAGAAACAAGTGAGAGCACTTTCACAAAAACCATTGTGGACCACCAATACCTTCTCTCCTGAAACGTATCGGTCAGGAGTTCCTCTAGAACTCTATTTAAAAAAAGGCCGATGTGAGTGCTGGAGTTTGGCAGCAGCAGTAAATAAAGCGACTTTAGGCTTTTAACCGCAAGACTTGGGTTCAATCTGCTGAGTCAGCAAATGTGGGCTCTGCTGAAGTGGCAAAACTTCGATACCATCAAAACTCTTAACTGGAGATCAGAGGCGGGGGTCCTCACTAAAGCACCTCCTGTAGGTATATTCTGGGATAAAGTGAGTTCCAAAAGGTAAAATACCTTAATATCATTAAAATGTGTGATAAATCATCCCAAATATCTCATCTGATATAGATTTGTATCTACTATCATGAATATTTCTTAAAGTGTTCCCACAGAAAACCAAATTAAACCCTGATATGTGCAATAAGCCAATATCCTAGATTCATTATTTGCAGCAGCACCAGCGAGGTTAATCAGGGGAAACTCAAAAACTGTATTCAGCCAATTAATCTCAGCAGCCACCGGATGTAAAATTGTAATAATGAAGCACTGATTTGCATGCGATAGTTATTTTAACAAATATGACCAGAGTTGTGTGGATACATGGAGGCTTTACTTTACAGTCAGTGAAACAATAAATATTCATGAGCGCCCTCACTGAATTAGACAGCCACGCAGACAAACACATTTTCCTGCGACAGAGGAGGCAGATGGCCACGTCGACTTAATGCATCTCCATTCCATTCCATCTTTTTGTATGACCGAGCCGCACCTCATGACAATTTCCTACTTGAGCAGCAGGAAAAAGAGCGGAGTGATTAAAAGAGAAAAGGGAAGACAAAGAGGAGAGTGTCGATTTTTTGGGAAAAGTGAGGGTGGTGTTTACTGAGGGGCTGATCATGCTGCATCTTTTTTTCTCTGCCGGAGTTGCAGAGTGTGTTTGCATGTTCTCATTTGGCTACTTTTCATGATGAACTATTTTTCCTCCGTGTATTTAAGTCATCCTTTGCTTTTTGAGGGTCTGCACATGCAAATTCAATGACGCAAAAGCTCACGCAGCTGCCTGAGTTGTCTGTGTGTACCTGTAAATAGTGTGTGTGTGTGTGTGTGTGTGTGTGTGTGTGTGTGTGTGTGTGTGCGCGCTTAGGGGGACATCAAACTGTCTTTGAGGTGGAGGACTGTGCTGATAAGGGCCAGATCTCTCACGGGGCAACTTCAACAGCCACGACAGAGACAGGAATGAAAGCTCGCTCTCTCTCTCTTTCTTTCTTTCTTTCGTTCCCCTCTTCCACTACCCCTCTCTCTCTCTTAAGTCTCCATCTAATGCACAAACACAAGCAAGTGTTAGATGAAGACTGTAGAGGCTCTTCAAAGTGCACTTGTTATGCCAAGACTGCCGGGCCATTAATGAGGGCAAACTATTTTCGGAAGCAGTAACTTGGCTGTTTAAAGATTGTGTGATGTGTGTGCATGGCATAGTGTGTTCAAGTTTGTTTTTTTCTTTAAATCAAGGACTTGTGTTTAGGAGTTTGTGTGTCTACGAGTGTGTGTGTGTGTTTGCTTGAACTCTAGGTGTGAATATGCATCAGTCACTACAAAGCCCTGAGCGCCTTCCTCGCTGCTCTTTGAAGTAAAGGAAAGGGAATAATCAGAATAACCACAGAGGGGAGAGAACAGAAGCACACGGGTGAGAACATCAGTTACAGAGAGCGGGAGACTTTAAGAGGCCACCACTGTCTGTGTGTTTATTGATGAAATCTGTGAGGGGCAGTAAAACCGTGTCAGATTCACAGCCCTGACAGTGACCTGTGACCCCATCAGTCGCTGCAGGTAAACGGTCACTTAACATCCGTGCCGTCGTGCGCGGACGTGCTCGCACGCTTCCCGCGAGGGCCGGCTGTTGCTTGCGTGTGCAACTTCCTCTGGCATTGCTGTGTCAACAAACCAAAGTGGGACAGGAAGGCTGGAGCGTGCTCTGGGTGTGTTTGTGCGTTCCTCCGTGTGTGTGTGGTGTTTATGGGGAAAAGGGCAACAAATGTGACATGTGCAGGAAAAAAAGAGGAGTGGGAGAGGAAGACATGAAGAGGAGGAGAAAGAGACAGATCAAAGACCACCACGGAAGAGAAATGAGCAACAGGAGTGGCAGAAGTGACTGACAGACCAAAGAAAAAGAAGAAGAAGAGGAGGGTGAGGGCATGGTTGCTGTGTTTTTGTGCGTTCACGCTCTCCTACCAGTTCCCGTGGCAGGAAGATGTCCTCCTGCCGTGCCACCACCACACACACGTTCTCTCCCTGCTTGGTGCTGCGCAGCATGGCGACGAGTTCCTCCTGGCTACGGCCTGTCATGTCGACTCCATTCACCTACACACACAGACACAAAAAAGAAAGAAAGAACACACACACACACGGGTAGATTTAAGTGAAGTGTATAATCCACTGGCAGTGCTCCACTAAAATCCAAACTAGTAGAGAATCAGACGTCGACGCATTTCAGAAAAAATATGAAATTCCCCCTCATACCACTCATCTGTCCTTAAGATTTCTGGCTCGAACACAACTTTAGAGATTATATCTTTGGCAGAAACGAGTTCCACTGAAAACTTTTGCTGTCATGTATGTTATCCAGGTGGAAGTTGTTCTTACGATCAAGGGGATAGAAACGTGCAGTTACTCAGTTTAACCGGCAGGGGTGACACTCAATCTGCTGCTGCAAATTATGATCACACCTAGTACCTGTTATTTTGTGGGGCATCATCAGGTTGAGGTTCGTCTCTTACCTCCAGGATGCGGTCTCCGGGCTGCAGGCGGCCATCTTTAACTGCCGCACCTCTTGACAGGATGTTCTTCACCAGGATTGGCCCTGGCCCGTGGACCGAGGAGTCCCGGGTTACCACGGTGAAGCCCAGACCCTCAGTGCCTGCAGGGAGAAAAGCAGCCTGCGTCACGGTGTGCATTAGAGACTCTCCCCTGCAGACAAGACTTAATTATGAAATTTATGACTTTTTCATTTCTTTTTAATTGAATTTTCCCCTCGTCTCCCTATTCTGTCACTTTTCTCCTCTGTCTCCTTTTCCGCTCGCCACAGAGTTTTCCGTTTCTCCTACTCTTGCGTCCAACTGAAACCAGTCTGCGGTTTCGGCATCGTCCTCCACATTAACTACTGTTTAAGTGCCTGTTTTCCTCTGGGGGTTAGTTGCCTGGCTCAGCCTCGGAGCAGCCAGGAGAGGGCCGGATTAGACAGACTCTGCCTTTAATTTCACGTGTGAGCAGGTCGAACGGTGGCTGATGAAGGGAGGTAGAGGGAGAAGATGCTAGGAGGGCGGAGGGGTGGCAGAGAAAGAGGATGAGAGAAGAAGGAACCTGAGATATTATTCCCTTCTCAATCTTCCCTCCCAGGGGAGGCAATGTGATTTCCACAAAGATTTTTCTTTGTGCGTGTGATCCTACATTTATCTATGTAAACATTTACAAGTGTGTGTGTGTAAGTGTGCACGTTTTTGAGGCCACACACACACACACACACACACACACAGCCGTCAACCCCCAGAGCCTCCACCCTCTCCCTTTTTCACGGCCTCACAAGCCCCAAGCCATGAGTGAAATGTGCCACACTGTGTGTGTGTGTGTGTGTGTGTGTGTGTGTAGAGAGAGCAAAGCCGGCGTGGCATACTAAAGGCGGCGAGCGATGCTATCTGGTCTCCGAGCTAAGCCTCTGCCTGCCCTACATTAGCGCACCTAAACCTCACCGCCTGTCAATCACAGAGAGAAAAGAGCCTGTTGCCAAGGGAGAGGGTGCTAGAAACCCCATAATATCCTCTGCTCTGATCTTGCATCAGGTGAAAGGATAGAGGGAGGGGGGGAAAAAATCAAACAAAAGGAGGATGGAGGGAGAAGGAGAAGAGAAGGTGCTGGGGAAAAAGAATCGTATGAAAAAAAAGCTGTGAATGGAGCTTTGAGCTGGAGAGTGTGGAGCCCTTCTATGCTTTCATCAGGGGATCTACTTCCTTTCTCACCTGGACCTGGTGTGTGGGGGTATGTGTGTGTGTGTCACCCAATTACTGCCATCCTTTCAGTGCCCCTTAATACCACAGGTTACTGGTACAGAACCTATTCACAGTCACAAGAACCTATTCCCATGTTATTGACACGAGCGTCCCAGCACTGATGTGTTTTAGGGGGATCAGAGATAAGGCGGCGGTGGGGAAGAAAGTCCGATTCAGTCCGGGTTTAGAGCTAAAAGCCAAACAACCAGATGTTGCGTGCGGTTATCCCACAAGATTATAAAGAAAGAAGAAAATGTTCACAGTGGAGAGTTATTTTCACTGCAGACAACATTTGTGTTCACTGATCCAGAGCTTTTCCTTGAAAGGAAAAGAACGAATTACACAAATCAATCATTGCTGGTGGGGCGGCATATGACACCAAGGACGTCAGCTGCTATTACATCAGAAAAACAAATATGGAGGATAAAACTAGAACTAAGCAGCTAAAAAAGACCATGTGGGTCATTTTTGCTTCAGGACAACAGAGGACATGAAAGGGATAAGAGAAAGTCTAGTTTTTCCCAAAACAAATATATTGTTGTAAAGGACAAATGGAATAGAATCAGATTGTGTATAAAGACAGAAGACATCTCCACTTCCATACTAAGTTAAAAATAACATCACTTAGTTGGTGAGACAGAAAACACCCGTGTTTCAGTCTAACAGAAGAATTAAATGACTTTTCCGCTGCATATTCACCTTTCTTCAGGTCAATCTTTATCCGCTTGCCGCCCTTCTTGCTGGTCAGGTTCGCCAGGCCGGGAGGGACGGGGCTCCTGGATGCCGGGGAGGAGCTTGCTGTCCTGGCTGAAGGTGTGGGAGAGGAGCCATTACTGGACTGGAGCTCATCTGCTGGTGCGTTTGCCGCAGGTGGCTCTGGGGTCTTGGCACGTGTGTCTGGTCGCCTCACTTCTACGTTGCTGTTCAGTTTGGAATGTGGTTTTGGCTCCGGTTGTGGGTCTGTTTTGACGCGGACCAACATCGGACTCTTTGCTTTTGCTGAGAGGTCTTTGGCATCGCCAGTGAAGAGGTGACCGATGAGGCTCTTCTCGTAGCGCAGCTTGTTGGGTACAGGGACGACCTCCAGACGTACGGAGGACGCGTTCATGGCCTGGCGGAACACTTCCTGCGAGCTAGAAGATAAGAAAAATAAAATTTTGGGTTTTCTAGTCATGGACAAACTCAGAAGAGGACATCTGATTGATGCAGAGGCATTGCAAATACATTTTCAAACACTACAAAAGTGTAAAAATAAAGAAAAGAGCTTGAGAAAGTCAAGCAGAACACAGAAGGAGAACAGAACAGAGTGAATGAGGCCTGTGTGTAGTTAATGGAGCTCAGTTTCAATTTGGATTTGGACTCTTCCAGCTGGTTTGGGACACGGTGGTCCCCGTCAGATGGAGGAGGACTTTACAGCAGAAGACTACCAGCAGCACAACATTAACACAACACAGTTAACACAGCGGGATGCAGTTAAATGGACTTATTTAGTGAGGACAGAGAAAGTAAAGGAGGCTGTGTTTGTTTGAAAGACGGAAAAATTAAAAAGAGAGAGAAGAGGGTAGATGTGGTGGAGAGATACGACAGGCGGTGAATGAGGAAGATTTATCTTTGTCTGATAGAGGAAACAATTTTGAGTGACAGGTGAGGGATCTTGCTACGGCGGCGGAGGATGAGTGGGAGACACACAAACACATAAACAAAGACTGAAGATGTTATTTTCCTGCTTTTGAGGCTTTCGTTTAAAATCTCATCACTGTCGCATAAAGAAATACTAATTTCTAGGGCTGTGTTTCGACATCAACTTATTACTCATTTTGCATCTACACTGCGGACAGATGGGCAGTAAATCAATTCAGTCGACAGAGTGAATGAAAACTAGAATGTGACGAAACTGATCCTTTTAAACCATTTAAACCACTTTGCTTATCTGCCAACATGAGACTTTCACAGATATATGGGTATTAGTGTTTATGTTTGCCGATATGCAAGGATATAAAAACGTTTCATTTACAGAATAAATAATGCAGAGAAGATTCACGTTTACATTCTACGTCTTAAACATCCAGTAGCTTATCACACTAAAAGTCTTCTGTGTTTGCATATTCAAAAAGGTGTGTCCCCTAATGGCCTTTAAAATGGCCTGTAAAATGGCTGTAGATTTAATTAGTGATTCCAAATGATTCCGATTGCCCAAATATTAGTGTTTCCTTGCTTTGACGCAGACATGAACATAGAAAACATAGACATCCAGCTCATCCCCCGCTCAGCGTCCTTACTGTGTGAATGTCTTGTCCTCGAGTGGAGTGTCGTTGATTTGGACGATACACTCGTCATCTTGAAAGATATTCTCTCGCTTGGAGCGACTTTTTTCCTCGATGCCTTTAATGTGAAGGCCCAGGGTCCTTGCGACACACACACACACACACACACACACAGCGTAGAGAGAATATGAATTCAGGTAAACACACATATGATTACATGACAACACTTGACAACACATTTCTACGAGTCAACATTGCCATCTGCTTTTCCTTATGAATGTCTGACTGATTACAAGTGGTGGGAGTTGAGTGTTTATATATATATATAT